CTTTTTTTGTTAGATTGAGTGTAGGGTGACATAAAGCGATGGGTTGATATGAATCACCCATGTAAGGCCCATTAGTGCACATACACAGAACACCAGTGGTTTCTCTTTCTTTCCAAACTATCGTTTCTGTTTTGGTCACTCATACACTATATTACAGGAAACAAAATATCAACAATCACATAAACAGATTTAAAGTGAGTTCTGTTGCACTGCAGCATTATGTGTGCATAATAAACAAGTTGCAGAGTTTGCCCTGAGAAGCAGCCAGCATTAGTGACCTGCTGTTGACACTGGCCAGCCTACAGGTGCTGAGCTATCTAATGATAGCTGATGAAAAGTTAATCCAGGGACAGTTTACTCTGCTGTGACTCCAGCAAAGACAAGGCTTTGTCTGATTTCTTTACTCAGTTCTGGCTGGCATGAGCATTCCACCAAAAAGCCACTGGTCCTTCTGGGCCTTATCTGTACCAAACTTCGTGTAACCCTTCCTGTCCCTTCTCTAAATACTGTTCAGCCCATTTCCCAAGGAAGGGATCTTTCATGAGCTGTGTAAGACTGCCAGAATGCAGTCCTTTATCCATGTCCAGGCTTTATTAACTTGAAATGTCAATCCCATTTAACAGAGGGAGAAAAATTTCAACGAAATATGTTTTGGAACTGAGTGTGTTCACATATATCAGTGTGGTCAAAAATGTATCTTAAAAACTTGCATTTCTGTAAGAAAAGCATGTGAGCAGTGGATAGGGAGGGTGCAGAGGGACAACAGTGGAAGCATTTGTTGGTGGTCTGAGGAGAAAAGGGATCAAGAGTTCCCTGCCAGGAGAAGGCCCTTTCCTAGGAATACTTGATCTGTCATGCACAGGAGAATGCTGCCACATGCCATGACTGCCAGGGAACCAGTTTTCTCCCTGTCAAGTTCTTCCTGCATTTTCACAGATCATTAAATTTTCTCTACCTTTCTGTAGAGCAACAGCTAGAGCTAGGGCAAGCAGGGAGGTGGAGCAACTTCCTCAGGCTCTTGGCTGAAGTGAGTGAACCACCAGGACTGACTCACTGCATCACCAGCATCACTGTTTGCTGCTGACAGTGAAAACTGGATTTGCTGGTGCTCTCATGAATGGTGCTACGTGACTTTCTGGAGCTGGAGTACCACAGACTGTGTGATCTACCAGGGGATTTATGAGAGATCTGCATAATATTGCATTATATATCTACCTCCTTTTTTTTTGGTGTTGTTTGTTTGTTGTTTTGTCGAGGGGTTCTGTGTGTGTGTGTAGGATGCATTGCTGTGCATATCGCTATTTTTTTATAATCTCCTTCCCAATCTGTCCTGTTCTTTATATATTTTTTTTCTTGCATGTCATCTCTGGCAATGATGGTGTTTTTCTTCGTCAAGTCTTAATTTTATCTGAAGTGATAAAAGTGGAAACAAAACCTCAATTGCATAAGAATGCTAGGCCACGCTGCATCAAAACTAGTACTGTGTTATTTTTCAGTAGCAGATAAGTTTTCTCACTAAAACTGACCTTGCAATTTATCCACTGGGGAGCTAGATAACACAACTACACCCTTTGAGATTATATTTGTTGCTGTAGTAATGTTGGACAGATAGTTATCTGATTCTTTTCTGAGAAGGAATTGATATTTCAATATAGTATTCCCAGGCTATATTTCTATTAAGAATTATAACAAATTTCTGCAAAAGTCATATTGAGCTGCAGAAGTTCCCTTAAGAAACCTCAGCCATGTAAATATGGTAACTGAACCCTCGTGCAGTTCAGCTACAGAGCAATGATATACCAGTGCCTGGATGTTTCTTTGAGATCACATTAGTTTCCTCTTGGGATAGCTGGAAAAGGTCAAGATCCATAAAGTAAAAGAGGGAATAACAAGGAAACTGATTCCTTATGTCACCAAATAACCTTTCCTATTCTTAGGTGACTCCTTCAAATTAACATGGTCAGACGTGAACCTAAACATGCCCGCGGTTTTCTGGTAACGCTGACAGTGCCTTAGAAGGTTTGTAGCACTACAGGTACCCTTTTCGTCTGTGAATTCACTCAGTACTAAGTACTGCTTTGTCTGCCACTGGAAAAGCCTGTCAGCCTTTGTGTTCAGCCTAAACTATACTCCAAATGTATTCTGGAAGAGATGCAGGGGGGAGGAATGTAGTGGAGAACGGTAGTTTGCAGCATAGATACATAAACAATAAAGAAGTTTCAGGTTTCTGGGGCAGTTTCTCAAGAATGTCTCAACCAGTATCTCTCACAAAACCTTAGAAAGATGATAACCTAAAGAGGACCCATCATTTTAGATGATATCAATGTCACATAGCTCTACATACTGTCATTTTGGGAGGAACTGCCTTTTTATTTTTTAAAATGATGTCTCATTTATGATTCCTCCTTTCATTATTGTAAAACCGTTTCCACGACTTTATTTTTTTTCAATTTTGCACTAAGTACAAGGGTGTAAATGTGAAGCATACTTTTAAATGAAAAAGGGTTTTGTACAGATAATTCAAAAGGTATTTTTGTGGGATTTATTTTACATTTCTATTTGAGTTACGTAGGTACAAGAAAAATTTATGGGAAAAATAAGATATTTTATACAGTCAAGGGTTTCAAGTTGAAGATGTCACCAGTTGTAAGCTTTCTATGCTACTTCATATTATTCTGGTACCATCATTTTGTATTCAATGGTCCTTTAAGTAATCACTTGAGGAAACACTGAAATCAGCTAATGAACAGTGTGCTTTAAAGTGCTAACCGTGTCTTTTTAATAGGTATCTGTGTCATATAAGGCAGAGCTTTGTACCATACACCAACTCTGACTTTATAAAGCAGAAGGGAATTATGAAATACTAGTTTTATTGTCATATTTCATTGTTTAAAATTAGATGTATTTTAGGGGACTGACACTGTGTTTTCATGTGTACAACTCTGGCTCTACATGTTTACTTTTTGTGTGCTCCGAGTAGAGAGAAAATGAGAAGAAATGCATATTCTTTAATTTACAAGTTAGAAAGGGAGATGTGCCAAGAAAACAAAGGGGAGAAGTGTGTGTGAAACCAAGGAATCGAGAGAAGGAGAAATCTGCTATTGTGGAGATGAGTGTTGAACTCATAAATGCCACAGACTGACTTGTCATGCTTATATTAAAATAGAAAATTTTACTCTTCTTTTCTTGTGTAACTGAAAAGTTGTGAGGAGAAATCCCAGCCTGAATTGATGTAAATTTTGTGCCACTATCCAGAACCAAGAAGTTCTTGGATTCAAGTTTTTACAAGTAGAATAGCCTAAGCATGAGCCAGATTAATGCTGTATGTTAAGCCATGTCTGCAAAACATTCAGCAAGGCTGAAATATATTGTTGCCAGACAGCAGTAGTTCAGTCCCCACCACAGATCTTAAAATATTACTAAGAATATTTAAATAATGTTAACCATCATCAGTACAAACCTCATGCTTATGAGTAAATGTCTAAGTACAGGAATTAAAACTTCTTTAGTTTAGAGCTTTTTTGTCTCTATTATCTTACTTCCTATGAGAATTGGTGCAAAAATATGGCCTTATACAATGATCATCTAAAATACCTCCTTTTGCAAAATCCAAAATATGCTGCTTGTTTCTTTCTGTGTGTTTTTTTTTCTTTTTAATTAATTCCTAAATAACAATCTGTAGAAGTAAAAGCCTGGCCCCAGTGACACTGACTATGTAACTGTGCCTTCAGCTGTCATTTTTGTGTTTTGGCCCCAGTGTAAGACACTATGGCTGTGTGATATTGCTAAATAAGAAATGTACCAAACCCCTGATGCCAGCTCTGAGTTCTGCCAAGGACAAAGCTCCTGTTAAAGTGTTGTCTACACACCTTTGCTTAACAAAACAATTATATATATTATATTTTTATTTTCATGTTTACCATATATAAAAAACTATTGTGTGCTACCCAAGAAGAAAGTAGGCCAAAAGAAGAGTGTAAAACACAAACTAAGGACCATTTATTTTGCTTTGTAAAGTCACTGTTTATCATTGACCAGACCTTAAATTTCCTTTTAGCTATTTCACATTTTTTGATCCTGTGTGTAGCTAAAGTTTGAGCGTATTTATTCAGATTTAATTTAGTTCTGTACAACCCCAGGCAAACCCAACCCCAGGCAAACCCTGAGCATGGCAGGTGTGTGACAGAGCGAGTTCTTTGTTGCCATTTGAGTAGATTTTTACCATGCAGTGTCAGACATCAATCTTAGGTCCTCAGAATTGTGGTTTGGTGGTATCTTTGTCTTCCTACATCAGGGTATTATAGTCCTAACCATGTGATTTGGATTGTATTTCTAGAAAATATAAGGAAATCTAAAGTCTTTGATAATCTATACTTGCTTAGATCTAATTGCCGATCAGCGTGTCCAGTATTCCCTCAGATAAGGTTTTGTTTTTCTGTACAAATGAGTAATGTTTAGTGCTGCTTACATGCACTGTGATGTGATCCATAGGTTCTCCTGGGTGAAAGGAGGGGATGGGGTCTCAGATCTCAGGAGGGGCTGGCTGGCCATAATAGCAGGACTCAGAAAAGTGACCTGATATACCCGGGTGAGCGGGTTTCCTGCATCCCTTTGAACTGACTCCTCATCAGGATTAAATGAAAACACATCTTTTCAAATCCACTGGCCTGTGGCATCCCCTTTCTGCTAACAGAACAGCTACAGTTTTTACTAGTCCCTTTTTTTGTGTGTCTTATTTGGTACAAACTTCTCCCCCAAAAACACTGTGCTCTGCTTCCCTGTTTGAAATACAATGGATCCGCTTTCTTTTTACAAATGACATAACTAATCAGCTTCTGAGGGGAAAAAATCGAGACAGCTAACACATATTCATTACCAGGAGTGTTGTGCAGGCTGCATTTTTTCCTCACAAGATTGATTAATTAAATATTTATGAAAGAGAAACACCTGGCATACTTCCATAAACAAATAGGTCTCCTGTGGGTTTGCAACAGCTGAGGAGAGTTTTGAGGGACCACAGGGATCTCAGGGTAAAGACTTCCTCACAGCTTGAGTTCTTACACATTGCTGTTTCTCATAAATATGCACCAACACACAAATAATTTCTATTTTGAAGGCAGAAAGTGCAATATCAACAGATGAAATCTAAAAGACAGCCAAAGAGAAAGGTAAAGACTAAGCAGAACAGAAGTACAGTGTGGGGAAAATGGCTCGTTTTTATTTATCTGAGTAGGGTCTGAGGCTCAGACAACTGGACCCCTTTTTTCAGGTATTTGGCTAGGGCTGGTAGTTGAATACTGAAAGCCTTAGACTGAAGAGATTTGTTGAAATCTAAGGGCAAGGGTTAAGAAATTATGCAAGACACCTAAAAGTGGGAAAATCATTCTGTTCACTATTTCAGCTGCTCTTCCAGATGGATCTGCTTTATAGATACTTCCCAGACTCTTCATCTTCAGTGGAATTTTTTCACTGGTATGTCACTGCTTTAAAAACAAAAATAATTGTGCCACTGACTTCAGCTACAATTTAGCTGGCATGATTGCTTTTATCGACCACTGCTTTACTGTGGCCAGTTTCCTGCAAGGGATTGTTTTAGTTCTGGGGAGTGGAAGTAATGTAGCTGTTAGTGTCAAATTCTTGTGCAATACCTTTTACATGTGCTTACATGTCATGTGCTTGCTGTATGTTGTATTATACTTCATCATTCTCCAGCTATGATTTTTTGGGGAGGAAACCTTAGAAACTGGCCAGCTGTACTGAAACTTAGAAGTTTAAGGTTCAGCCTATATGGGAAATGATCAAGCCATTTTAACTGTTTTGTGCTCCTGAAGGCAAAGTCTAAAATGTGACTTATTGTGATGAAAATTTCTGATATTGGTCAAATATTAATTTCTCAATCCTAAACACGGTAAAATATATAGGTTCACAATTTTTTTAAATGCAGATTATAAAAAAAGGATACATATTTTAACTTGGTTGTGTTCTTTGCCACAGCTGGACAAATATTAAAAGAAAACAAAGACTTTTTCATTTTTAAATTCTGAAACAAAAAAGATTTTTTTTAAAAAAAAGAAAATGTATTTTTGAAAGCTCGAATTGTTAATCATTGAAATAATACAGTTGAAATTTGGGAAATTTGGGTGTATTCTAATTTGGTTTTGGGGGGGGTAGAGGTGTGGTTGTTTGTTTTGCATTGGTCAATAGATTTTCTACCAGATGTGAATTGTTTTAAGAATTAAGATTGAGAGGATCATAAGCCTGTCAGTCTATTTAGGAAAAGAAAAAGTGAAGGTTTTTTGATGAAGTTCTGCAAACACAACTGGTGTGTGGTGATAAAGTCCAGTGATGTGTAAAAGAATGTGGAGATACAGCAGGACTGTGTTTAGTATTAAGAGTAGGTAACACTTTGTCTTCTAGATAACCTCAGTAAGGTGAAATAGTTTTATGGCTAATCCTATGAAGTTTGGTCAAAAAGTTAATGAAATGAGTGCAGGTTTTTCATGAGTTGCAATGTATCAGAGATGAGGTTTTACATGCTTTTACTTGTATTGTGCATACTTTTACTAAGAGTTTTGGGGGAAGGTTTATTAATACAGAATGCAGAATCACCTTTTACATACCACCACTTTTGCCAAGGTAATCTCTTTTTTTAATTAGTTTCACATTTTTTTCAGAAATAATAAGCATTAATATAGAGTATATGTCAACGTAACACATTTTAAAAGGGTGATTAAAAATACTTATGTAATCCAGCATGAACTTCTTATGCACCTGCAGTTTTCTTTGTTTTCCCTAGGAATCCATAATAACAGTATAATGCATTCCAGGGTTAACCTGTTCCTTTAACAAATGTGTTGAGCCTACATTCTGTAAAAATCTAAAATCACTCTTTGAAATTAATGTGCATGCTGGATGTCTGAGGATTGGACAATTCAGTCTTTAACCATCAAAAATGCATTGCAGTTGTGTATGGTGAATGTCTTAAATGTCCTGAAGTAGAAAGAATTTTAATTCCGGTGGTAGCAGATAGATCTTGATTTAATGAAATGTCTTTATTTCCTGCTAACAGAAAATGATCACAGGATTGTTTAAAAAGGATGAACCACTGAAATCACCTTGTTAGACATAAATACTTAATAATGTTCACTATAATGAGATAAAAAGTGATGGTTGTGAGGTCAAGTGTGAGGAGAGAGTTCAAAGACAGTGTAGACCCTTTAACATAATATAACCTAGTTTTAAAGGGGAGAGAGGAAATGCATTGCTTGAGGAGAAGAAAAGCCTTGTGTAAGCTTGATAAATATTAAGGGCTTGTGTGTAATGAGAAATGGAATCTGATGAATGAAATATCATGGTAAAATCATTTTAATCAATAATGGAATGTGATGTTATTCAGACCATAGTAATATGTCATCTGCTTTATATTCTTTCCCAGTGGTGTTTTCCTTCCATTTTTTTTTTTTTAATAATTTTAGTGTTTTGTGGTTTTTTGTTAGCTTGAGATTGGTTATGCTGATGTAGTGTACCTCTGCAGCAAAAATATTGAATGTGTAATGCTGATGTAGTGTAGTGCAGCAAAAATACTGAATGTGTAATGTCACAATTCTATACATAACCCTATGAAAACAGAGGTAGTATGTGAAATAATGGCATTTTCTAGGAAAATTTATGTATTCAAAATTAATTTACCTTTTTTCCTGCTCCCCAAATGATACTTTTAAATATGAAATTCTGACTGGATTACAGTAGATGTCATGTTTGTAGTGGGTGCTTTTTCAGACTCTTGGGAAATGTAATAATAACCTCAGTGTAAGTAATTGTGGATAAATTATGCACTATGCATGCTAGTTGCCATTTACTTTGTTTCAGTGTTTATTTTAGCATAATAAAATGAGATCTTTATTTTTCCATTATTGAGATCTTGTGCTACAGCAGTAACAATGATGACTTTATAATGCCTTGTGATGATAGTGCTTTGTCAGCCTTCTGGACAATTTAATTTGAAAACACTGGAGTTCATTCTGAGCATTAAGCAGATAATCTGTCAGGTTACCTTTGTGATCTCATGGAGAAAGTTTTTGAGAAGCTTTACTGTAGCTCAAGGCCTGTTTCTTGTAAAAGCAGCTCTAAGATCTCCTGGCTCCTACTTTTAGTCACAAGAACAACTTAATATGTGAACCTTCCAGCTCAGATTTTGGAGCATGCAGCAGACAGAAATCTACATTTCACATCCCTTTTTAACTCTTTGTAAGCTTTCTAAGTGATGAGCAAAAGCATCCAACCAGGAAGAACTGTGGAGTGACTGTACCTGTTGGAAAAAATATTGTTCCTTCATACTGGAAACTTGCCACACCTTTAGAGCATGTTGGATGCTGATTTTAGAAAAACATTGAGAAAAAATCTTTTGAGGGCCTTGAGTTGTTGTCATATAACAATAGTCACATTCATGCTGAAATCAGACTGGGAGAAGTAATATGGCAGAACAGAGAAAAATATCCACCTGTTACTATGTTATTGTTTGGGTTTTTATCAATTTATCTTCCTATTTTTGTTCAATGATTTTCTTAAATTTTGAAAAAATAAGATTAAAAATCTTTCAGCGTAGAATTTCATCAGAGCAACCCAGATGATAAAGGACATCTTACACATGTTTATCTGGTTTTTGTTAATTTGATTGTTAGCAACTTATTATTTGGCAATGCTTGAATTGATCTTTTTCCTTTATTGTAGCAGCAATATGGCCTGAATATACTCAATATATTAATACCAAATGCTTATTTTTATTTGGATCAATTTGACTTAATGTCATTCATATCATTAACATTTTGCAGAAATAATATTGACAAAAGTCATTGATCCCTCTTGCAGAAGCCATTGTATCAGTTGTACTGAAGACTTGCAAATGTTCGATCCTGTCTTAGCCACAAGAAATGTTTTATATCATCCATAGGCTCAACACAGCCAAACCTTAGTGATCATTGATTGAGACATGGAGGAACAAAACCCAGAGCCAGGGATGAATTTGGAAACACTGGGCTTCAGTGAAAGGGTCCAATGATCCACTCAGGCACAGGCACCACATTTCTACACCAACTTTGCTGTAGAGGGCACAAAAAGAATTAGCCAGGCTGTTTCGGTAACTACATTTTTATCTTTGTACAAATATTTCTCTCTCCATTGGATTTTGGAAACAGCAGCACAGGAGACACTGTTTCCCTCCCTGTGTTCTGCCATTTCCAGCACAAATTAACTCTTTCAGTGTGAGGAAGGGAGAGATTTCTTCCTTTCCAGAGCTGCTCAGCCTGAGGAGTCTGGAGGAAGGAAGCATCCCTTCCCCTGGCTGCCTCCCCATGTGTCACCTAGGTTGGCATTGGGACAGTCATATTTGCAAATATACATTTTTAATGAGTTCTGAATAAAATATAAATTATGTAAACAGAAAAACCCAAAGTAAAATCCCAATTTCAGAGGCACACAATGCTATGTAATGCCTCAGAGGGTTACAATAATATTATTAAGTGGCTAACATGGGAATTTCTCATGCTGTAGCAAACTAACATATTATCTATTCCTTCAGGGAATGCCCACTAAAAATCTGCCTTGTATTTTCTGACTTTAAACAAAGTCTGTAGGATATTTATAGCTGCATCTCATTAATACACCTGTTAAGAGAATGTAGTGGGGTTTTTTTGGTTTTTTTTAAGGTTAGAGATTAAAAACCACATAGTTGGGAGATTCATATTACAAAGCAGGTAGAGCAAAAAAACGTTAATAAAAGATTCTTCATGCTGTTTTGCAATAGGAATGTTTAAAAATAAATGAGCTCTGCTGAGGGTCTCAATACTCAGTTAGTGATGATTCTCAAGTCAAACAGACCTCATGTTGTCATGATAGAACAATGCCTATGGCTCTATGCTGGTAATAATTTTCTGTTTTTTGTAGGAAGGCAGGAGAGAAAGAAATTAAATAAACTTTTGTAGTTGAAAGGCAAGTAAGATTTTTTTCATGTTCTTTTATTACTATTACATGGAAGGTCATCTGTGATGTTCTAGAATGATAAAAGTCAAACTTCAAAATGCAATTTGTTAAACTTAAAATAATTTTCATAATATGCTTGGTTTTACTTTAGCAGATGTGGCAGTTCTAGGCAGCACTGCAAATAAAGGAATAATTACAGACTAAGACTTTTTTAAAGTTAGTCTATATGGAAGCTTTAAATTAGTTAAGAAGAGTGGTTGCAAAGTATAAACATGTTCTAAATAGTTTGTGTAGGCACTGGGGAGTGGGGTTTTTTCCTTTTTTTTTATTTGAAGTCAAATTTCTTAGAAGAGTGCCTGAATGAACATAAATAAGTAGATGTAGTAAAAAGAAGGGAAGAATGAAGGAAAGATATATTAAGTATGAGTCTGTGTATTTCAACATTACAGAGTTAGGTTTGCAATTTGGTTCAATTAGAATTTTCT